ATCTCCACTGTCCGGCTGGTTCCTAGGTTCTCTTCCATCTGGCTTCCCACGCGGTTAGTACAGTGGTGTCAAGGTTGGACTTCCTACATGGTAGCTGGCTTACCCCAAGCATAAACAGAAGCTATCAGTTTTTGTTACATTTCTATTGATTAAAGTAGACCAAAGGCCAGCACCTCTCAAAAAGGCAACTATATAAAGGCATCACTATTAGTTGTGGGTCATTTCGGGGGCACATCAAATTAAGCCATATCATTTCTGGGATCTCTGACTTTTATATCGGGATGAATGGTGGTGTTATTCATAGTTACTGGAGCACTTCTTTATTCGCCATGTCTAGCCACTGGCACAGAATGTTGTGGTTATGGGACATGGAATCGGCTCTACTCATCATGACCCTATAAACACTACCCTATGAGCATGAAATTCTGCCCAATCCTAGACCATCCTCACAATCTCTGTGCTGCTTAAGGCCATTGTTAGCGTCACAGTGTCATCTCATCAAAGGTCTTCTCTTTTGCTGTCCCTCTACTTTTCCCAGCATGATGTGCTTTTCCAGGGACTAGTCCTCCTTACAACATGCCCAAAGCATGTGAGATGAAGTCTCACCAGCCTTGCCTCTGAGGAGCACTCTGGTTGCTCACCTTTGGTTCTCAGCATTGGCCAAATTGAATCTCTACTCAACCTTCCTTTAAACAAAAGGTACCATGGCCAGCTGGGCTCTTTACACAGCCTTATGATGACTACCTACATTTTTAAAAAGACTTTTACTATTTACTGTTGGAAATTTTCTTCTCTCTCCCTCAGCCCTGCAATGCACCCTTGTTCCAGATTGTTGTCATACATATGATGTCTAATCATAGATTCCTTTCGGATACTTCTTCCTCTCATCTGTTCGACTGCAGTGTTCACTATCTAGTCACTCTTTTCCGATGGCTGCCCTATTTTATAAAAGGGTGTTATGAAATATTTTTCCTTTTGTGATTGAGATATTTAACTCAGCATAAAGTTCTCAAGGCTCCCTCATGTTGTGTAATGTTTTATGAGGTCACTGTTTTTCAATGTCACCTAGTATTCCATTGTGTTTTTCTATCCACTCATTTGTTGATAGGTACTTGAGTTACTTCCATCTTTTTGCTTTTGTAAATAATGCAGCAATAAACATGGGTGTGCATACATCTGAGTCCTGGCTTTGGTTTCTTTAGGGTATATTCCCAGTAGTGGAACTGCTGGGTCAAATGGTATTTTTCTTTACAACTTTTTGAGAAAATGCCAGACTGCCTTCCATAATGGCTGTACTATTTTATATTCCGTCTAGCAGTGAATCTTTCCACAACCTCGCCAGCATTTGTTTGCTGTCCTGTTGAAATCTGCTATTGTTGCTCGGCTGAGATGATCTCTCCTAGTTGTTTTGATTTGCATCTCTTTGAAATTTAGGGATTTTGAACATTTCTTCATGTGTTTGTTTGCTATCTGCACGTCGTCTTTGGTGAAGTGTCTATTCATATACTGTGCCCATTTTGCAAATGGATTGTTTACCTTTTGAGGTATACAGCCTTACTTTTAAGTCAAGATTTTTCTAAAGATGGGTCGCTGGGAATAAGCCCAGCAAAGAATTGGGATGGTGCTTGTTTTTCTGATGCTTAATTTTGATCTGTAGGCCAAATGTACTATTTTGCTGCTGCTGTTTATGGGACAGACAAAAATAAAGAATTGTTGATGTCATCAATGCTAGGCAAGGGCAGAGATCAATGGTTTCTCCACTCCTAAACGGCTTCAAGTGAGTGAAGCAATGTGAGCTCCCCAAAAATGCCATGGGCAATGGTAAGAGGACCAAAAAACACATAAAACCATTCTTTTAATATAAAATGGTTTAATTTTTTTTTCTGTTAAAATACACTTAATCCAGATGCAACAGATCAGGCGACCAGATTTTTCAGGATTCTTATTCTATTAGGAACTGAGTCCATGTATATTCAGCCCTGGCTCTGGTCACAGAAACTTCATGTCTCTAATTCCAAATACTGAAAGTGATGCAAAGGATGTAATCGATATCTAACATATGGGTATTAAAGTTACTTGGTAGTCACTGTACGAGGCATCAACAATGCAGGTTCAAATAGAGGATGTATAATAGCATGGCCCCCTTCAAAAAGAAATCTATTAGGACACTAAGCTCAACACCTTAAATTAGTTCAAAATAAGTACAAATTCAGTGCTAGCTCCTGTGAGGATCAGTGCATGCAGACAACTTATGTGTGTGGCCTGTTTTAATAGAAAGCCACTGAAATATCAGCAGTGCCTCCTCCCAGAGCCAGTCCTGAGTATGAGAATGAAAATGCGGGGAACACACAGCTCGGCCCAGCAGTGGGCTCCAACACCCCGGGAGCTTTAGTTGCACAGAAAGCAGCAGCAATGACCACTTTCCCGGAGATGAACAGAGGAAGCACAGAAGTTTGCTGGTTTGAGCAGACCCCAGGTTTGCTAGCTTAGGGTCCTTGATTCCTTTAAGCTGCAGTGTCCTTTATGATGAGACTTTTCATTTTCTCCTCACTTCTGATCATGTGGTGCAGAGCACCTTCATTCTAATGACTGAGCACTCCAGTTTCTGTCTGAACTGCAGCCTTATTTCTTATCACACACATCTCTAATCTGCAATAATACTCACAGAAACAGCTCTGTGCTAGGTTCAGGCAGTAAGAATAAGTCTCACCCAAAGAGTTTCTGTATGATCAGGAAACCTTCCAACAGATACAGGTAAGAAGAAAAAGCTTTGCTTTTTAAAAACCAAAAACAAAAAAAAACACCATGCAGACAACTTAAGTTAAAATATAAACTGGGAAATAATAATTTATCAATACTCTGGAGATTGTAAAATAGGTTAAAGTATCCTTCAAACAAAAACCAAAACCATTTCTTTGAGAAAACTAGATGTGACTGTTTGGTCTACTAGGTAATAAATAAAACAGTACCATCAGTGCTATAAAAATAGACACTTGACTCAACATTTAATGGAGTTAGTATTTCATAGATAACATCTCTACCATGGAACTCACAAAATGTGACTGCATCCAGTAGTCACGAGTCCCTACAGCAGGGCCATTTAACCTGTCAAGTTAGCTGAAGCATGGCCCATGCTGGACCAGAGGGTGCAGTTGGAGAAAGGAGAGTTGGGATTTTGGGGGTATGGAAGGGGACAATCTTCCATAGCCTGTTTGGCTCATGGGTACATTTTATAGAGTCAATTCCCTCAGGCACTTGAAGGAAAGTAAGGAGACCCCCTGCTCCAACAGAACAAGAAGATAGACTTAATGTGGTTTGGAAAACCAAAATACTAAAAGCCAGGCTCTATCAGAAGCCAAACATTTGTTCCTTTTCATTCACAAGAATGGATGCTTCTATAGAAAAACATGGCTGTGTAACTGAAAGGGGAGGTCCTCCTTTGAAAATCTGTTTTAATATACTCCCTTTCTTCAACAGGGAAGGAGCCTTCTGTCATGAAGAGCACCTACAATATAGATGTCACCTTACGAGTTAAAAACACACGCACACACTAAACTTCCAGATTGAGAGATTTGTAATAACCTGGGCAGTGCAACCCGTGGAACTCACCTGGGCAGAAAGGTCAGACCATGAAGCCTGGTGACAACGGGCCTCTTCCCTTGTCTTAGTGGGAGGGGCAGCCTGTTGTTGAGCACTTGTGTGGATATGTGTCCTGCTTCCTGAAGACAGGTCAAGAAGGGTCCTTGAATGGACATCGGGCTGCCACAGAAGGGACAGGGCACAGGGTGGGAGGGGTGGGGCACTCCTAGGAAAGACTCAGCTTTGAAATGGTGGTGAATGATTTAATACTTTCTACCTGATAATGAACCTGACATCTAGCTCTGTGGCTTGGGTGGTCAAGGCAAACCATTCATTCACTCTGGGCCACTATTCATATTTATAATAGAGACAATAACCGATTTCACAGTCATGAGGAGGCTTAGGTAAGAAAATATATGTGAATGTTCTAGCCTCATGGTAGGCACTCAGGAATTGTTAAATGACTTAAACAATATTTTGTAACACAAACTAAAGGGCCCTGGCATGAACAAAGTGGTTTCAACAAATCTGGAACCAATACCCACCCCCTCATAGACACAGCAGGAGGTATCTTTGCTCTCTGAGTTTAAGCAAATGGGCTGGTTGGCAGGCAATACCACCACTTGGGTCTGAACACTGTGGGGTGTAGAGACTCAGCTGCAAGAGGCAAAGAAAAAAAAAGACTAAGATACCTATTCTCTGGGTCTTCTAGTGGACTGGGGGAGCTACACTGAGGAGCTGACTCAGTCTTGCTTTTTACCTCGACCCACAGCCCTTGCTTCTCATCGCTGGATAAACTATTTCACAGTTTTCCCATTTCTAGGCCCTCTAAAGAGAAGGTTCAGGAAATAAAAGAACTTCAAATCAGGTTGTTTGCAAATGCTGGCAACTCTGAACAGACTGAGGAAATGAAAAAACCCAAGCAACCCATTATTGGCCACAAGGAGTTCACATTTCTCTATATTCCCCTTAGCATGTTCCAAAGGTTGAACCCTTGGGAAAATGATGTAGGGACACATTATAAAGAAGATCAAGCTGCTTTGGCTAAGCCAGGGGATGCCTAGGTATTAAAACTTACCTGAAGAAGGGAAAAAGAAGGAAATGCTTTGGGATGCCCTGAACTACATTCATAGTGGCAGGATATGTAGGGTATGAGCTAGGAGCTAATCCAAGTCTCTGCCATTAATTCAGCGTAGATGATGGTTCCTCACTTGTGAATAGGATGTCATCCAGGATGAGGAAGAATCCAGGAAGGATTCTATGATGACATGTTTGGTTCAAAGCTCCTTTAACTCTGCCCAGCAAATCAAGTTAGCAAATAGTAAAATGTTCATTATTTCCTAAGTTTGTATTACAAAATGGAATCAGGAACACAAACAGTAATAAATAGCAAACCCCCCGACTGCAGGACCACCGTCCCCTCAGCCGCCTCTGCGCTGGCCAATAAGTTTGGACAGTTTGTCACAGTTTTCAAGTTTCAGTGACTCCGCTTTCTGTCTCAGCCGTTCATCTCTGTATAATCCTGCCAGATTGGTCAACTCTGACTCTGAAAGAGATGAGAAAGAACCAATTCATCAAGAAGGCGGAGGACTTGTGCTTCCTCCGGTATTTCTGGAATAAAACATGTTTCTTTCATGCTTTTTCTTGACGTGAAATTTACAAAACTTTCACTCATTTATCATAGCAGAACACTAAATAGCTACACTGTGTCAGGTGCTGAGGATTAAAGGACACCTGTGAGACTAGAGTCCTCCAGAATCTGTGCTCTATTATAAAAGCACCAGACTTAGCTCTTATCAATAACACATTTGGCACCAGACTTCGGAACCCTGCACGTGTGCAGTAAGAGGAGACTGCTTCACAGCCTTCCTAGCCGTGGTATTCAGATAGCAGTCGGGAGGGAGTGGAGTCCAACTGTCTATTCCTGTCATCTGAAACAAAGACAGCTGCTTCGTTTTCCCCCTGTGCCGCTGGCTCAGAACGCACACGCGCTGATACAGATTCCACACAAGGCCAGGTCGCTGGCAGCTTCCTTCATTCCCTCACCACATGAGGGTCTACAGCTCAAAGGCCACAAGGCAGCGGCGTGCTTTTAAAAGTGAAATCATCTGGATCTGACGACCTTTGTCTCCCTGACTAAATGAATTTTATTTGCTCTTCATAGTGGAGAAGGTCATTCTATTTTTTTTTTTTTTTGGTCATTCTATTTTTAACCAGAACATAATCCATGCGGCCTTCCTTGAGTCAGTGTGGCGTAGCTGCCTCTTTTTTATTTCTCTGTGAAGTAGAGACGCTTTTAGGAAGGCAAGTCTGCAAAGCACCTCCAGAGCTGTCCTGGGTGTGACCGGGGGCACACATGGGTGGGCTGAGTGTGAGAGCAGGGCACGCATGGACGGGCTGCGTCTGACAGGGCATGCATGGATGGGCTGCTGTGACAGGGTGGGATGGGGTGAGCCGCTTCGGATAACCTCCGGCAGAAGGCAGCTATGCAACGTTGAAAGGTTCAAACTTGAGAAAATGCTATTTTAATCATTTTTGAAATATGCGTATCCCTTTTTAATCATCTTGCTGACAGATTTTGTTTTTCTTGGTCGAACAAGAGGCACCTGTCTGATTAATCAGCAAACTGCCTAGAAAAAGGAATTAACACTTAACCATAAGAAACAATGGGCATTGATTTCTGAGTAGCTTCTATCAACATAAAACACTGTCTGGTATTTCTGTTGACAATGATTCCATTTACACCACGAAAGGCCCAAAGTGCAGATTAAGAACAGGACTCCAGGGTGAGGGGTGGATATGCATGAAATCCCTCCCTCGACATGGGGGCTGCGGAGCCTGGGCTCTGGCCCAGCAGTTGCTTGGCAGCAGCTGGTCTCCCAGGCTCCAGAACAATGTGCTCTCACCCTTTGGCACAGGCACTCACAGTGCCCACAAGCCAGAGCTTGCCTTGGCATAGCAATCTCTGCAGGTGATGGAGCTTCAAGGGGGACCATGTACCATGTACCAGTGAAAACCCTCTGCTCCTGGACCCTTCCCGGAGCTCCGCTCTGACGCCATTTTTTGTGCCTCTCTGGCATGTGGGAAACCCGTTCAGGCCCCCATGGTGGCTCCCTGGAGTCACTGTTACATTAATATACATGGCTTTTCCCTTGAAATGATCTCCTTAGTTGGTCTATTTGTTTGGTTTACTGAGTTTTCCTAACCTCATTCCAGAAAACATCAAAGGCTACTGATTTGTAATATCTGTGATGGATAGAAGACCATTATATGCAGCTGACAAATTATGCATATTTTGACACTTCTCTCAAAATATCATATTCTGAAAAACAATTTAAATTTTGTAAAGAAATGAGTATAAAACAAACAAACATCATATTGTTTTACATAATAAAGTTCCCTGAAACCAGGTCACAGACCCCAGCTCCAGAGCAAGGCCTTGCCCAAGGCCAGTGTTTCCAAGAATCACATCTCACATCCTCACTACTGGCTTAGAGAAACTGTCCTTCAAGCCACCAGTGATGCCTATCATCCTTTTATGAGCAACAGGTCACCTTAAAGAAATTCTGTAATTATTCAGTACTGCTAAAAAACTGGAAACAATTTCTACAAGCAGTGCAGGATTAAGAGAAGAAACTTTTCTACTTATCCAAAGACTCACATAAAGTATCCTTTTCCTGTTTCCCTGCTTTGCCACAAATGCCATTAGAATAAGCCAACAGGGTGCTGAGCCTCAATGGTAAACGGACTTGGGCAAAATGCCAAAGCAGCAAGTCCCAGAGCCTCTCCCAAGAACCTTCTTTACAAGATCAGAGATTTGACAGCTAAAAGATTGTAATAGATCCCAACTCTCTTCATGATCCAGCCCATAAGACAGGGCTGGCAGTGAGCCTACCTCTAGTCTATAACGAAAAGCCAAACCATATAGGAACTCCACCAGCGACCAGGTACTTAGTGTGTGCCACGTGCTGCGCTAAGAGTTAAAGCCAAACCATTGTGTATGTTCCAGACAAACCCTCACCCCTTTCAAAGCCCAAGTTTCTTCCTACCCACTCTGCTAGAGAGGTAAAGGGTCTGGAAATAAGGGCTCTTGTGGCAGGTGCTCAGCTCAGCCCAGCTAGGTCGGGAGGTGGTTACTGTTGGTTATTTTGTTCACATAAGCTCAGAAGCAAGGCCGCTTCTCCTGGCATGGGGATTATTCCCCAGAAGCAGCTGTGAAGAGGTCAACAGAGCAGTCAGTGTTCACATTAAGGATCACTCATAAAATTTTTCCTTAGGATTAAGCATTCTAAGGAAAATCAAAGGGGTGGGGAGAAAGAAAAGATTAAAAGACAATGGCTAACTTTGCTGAAAGCAGTTTCCATTCGGTAGCCTGCCAAGAGTGAACTTTGTTCTCAAGTGGGTTTATTTTTACAACCTCCAAGTGCTAAAATTAACTGCACCGGCTGCACTTGCTGCTGGATCCAGAGGACAGATGCTGCGTGTTCTCAGATGGCACTTGGGTCCTGTAGAGGCTCTGGGCAGTCACCATATTTAAACACCAGAAATAGATTTATAAGGGAAATGTGTGGATAGCATCCCATTTTCAACTTGCAAGTACATGCTTGCCTACTGAATTTTCATTTGTCTTTAGAGAGCGTCAAAGCCCTGGAACTAGTCTTCATGGGGATAGGGACAGAAGTCCAGAATCCACGTTAGATGCAGTTCTTATTTTGATCTGTAGTTCTTACTGCGAGCTATTCGCTCAGTTCCAGCATCTTGTGGCCACTAAATAAACTGTATGAGGAATGTGGTTTTTTTTTGTGTGTTTTCATCCAGTTCCTGTAGAAAGTAATGAATATAAAGCCTTCCTATGACCCAAAATAAAAAGATGTTTTAGGATACATTACAATGGCTTTAGCCTGTCCACAATCCTCTTTCTTGGTAAAATTTCATACAAGACAACATTTACCAATTGAAAATTTTTCAGGTTCTCCACTACTTTGCAATCCAAGGCTCTTTCCATGCTTCAAAGTTATTTTTTTATTTTTAAAACCTGCAAAGACTGTTTTAACAATAGGGAAAGGCATTTTTTGAACTCAGTCCTTTGTTCAATAATAAAGCAACTTCCTTCATCTACCTGACTTCACCTTAAACCCTAGCGTCCGTCATTCAGAGTTCAGATGGGCTATGCCCTATATAACTGGAGTGGAGGAACAAGATCCTTGAGGGTTAGGGTTAGAACTCTAAAACTGCTTCATTGTTTATAATTCTCCGCTTTCCAGTCCTGAAATTCCTTTCTTCAAAAATCATTTGTTGAGCACCTGTTCTTAAGTCAAGATGGTGCCAGAGTCCAGGTTGTAAAATTACTAAGACAAGGTTTTTAACCTCAGGGAGTCCACAGTCCAGAAGACAGTGCTTTAAGAACAGAGGGGATTCAATAGCTAAACAGGTTAATAAAAATGTAAACTAAGGTTTTAATGATAAGAAAGGTTATATGACAAATAGAACTTTAAGTCAAAGAGCAAAAGTGTTAACATATATGTACATATGTATGTATGAATCTGTGCATTTTAATTTATTTAAGATTGAGAAAATATAATCATATACTAAGTTTCATTTTAGAACATGCAAGCAAAATTTTTATGGTCATTAAGTGGTTAATGGTTATTAAAAAATAACAGAGGGGAAAGGAAGAGGAACTTGGGGGTGGGGCTGGGAGTACATAATGATGGCTCAGTGAGGGCTTAGCAGGACTGTGACTGAAGAGCTAATTTTATCAGAGTCTGTTATATGGTTAATAATATCTAATAATGTTTTTTTCTTTTTTTTCTAATAATGTTTTAAAACATGAATCAGAATTTGCTCTTTCAAAATTAACCAAATCTCTTTCTATGAAGATGGTGCCAAAAGTGAAGAAGAAAGCCCCTGCCTCTCCCAAAACTGAAGCCAAAGCAAAGGCATTAAAGGCCAAGAAGGCAGTCCTGAAGGGTGTCCACAGCCAAAAAAAAAAGAAGATCTGTACGTCACCCACCTTCTGGTGGCCTAAGACACCTGATTTGCCTAAATACCCCTGGAAGAACGCCCCCAGGAGAAACAAGCTTGACCACTATGTCATCATCATATTTCCCCTGACCACTGAGTCAGCTATGAAGAAGATAGAAGATAACAACACATTTGTATTCACTGTGGATGTCAAGGCCAACAAGTACCAAATAAAACAAGCTGTAAAGAAGCTCTATGACATTGATGTGGCTAAGGTCAACACTTTGATTAGGCCTGATGGAGAGAAGAAGGCCTATGTTCGACTTGCTAGTGACTATGATGCTTTGGATGTTGCCAACCAAATTGAGATAATCTAAACTGAGTCCAGCTGGCTAATTCTAAATACAAATTTTTCTCACCATAAAAAAAAAATAAAATTAACCAAACCTGTTAATTGAGACAGGGCTACCCGTGCTGTCAGCACTTGCTAATACTATTCCCTGGTCTGGTAAGCCAAGTTGTTGATGCTGTAATCTCCATTGTCTCCAAAACCCAAACCAAAACCAAGCCTACTGCCCTTAACTCAACTCTGTTCCACAGTGACCCTACAGAGGACAGAGGAAAACTGACAAGGCTGTACATATTTTTGTTTTGTTTTCTGAAGGTGAAAGTAAAGACAATTTTATTACAAAAGATGTCCTAAGGAGAGAGACACAGGGTATTCATTCTTGGACAGCAAAGAAATGGAGGAAGACCCCAGCGTTACTGATCTTTATGGCAGGAAGAGGCCACATCTTTCTCCCATGGAGTAGCTGGTGTTTATGAATGATCTGACCTTTTGATTAGCAGTCAAGTGCTTTAAGCACTTTCCACCAAGGCTCCTGCCTATTGTCTCCAGAGGAGGAAAGAGTGGCAGAGCTGCTCATGCTCATTCCTACTGAAGGGGAAGACCCAGGGTGTCTCTTATTCTGTGTTACTACTCCTGACCAGAGGTAAGGAAGGGTACTTGACTTAAGTCTAGCACCCAAACTACTGGTCTGGCTTAAAAATTTACACTAGATTGATAAGATTTCTCTTTATGGAGTTTGGAATTAGGAAACTGTGGACCAAACATGTTAGCATTGAGAACTAAAAAATGGAGGCTGTAGTGTAGAATCTGGGTGTGTAGCTAAGGGGATGTTGTGTACTGTCAAGTCAAAACTGACCCACAGCTGACCCTCTGGCATGTTTTCAGAGGCAGTGAATCATATGGAAAGAGACCGTACATCCTTCTACCACAGAGCAGCTGGAGGATTTGAAACGTGTACCTTTGAGTTGTATGTAGTGCCATTCCTTACCGATTATTCACCAGAGTTCTCTGACTAAGGGGTTGGCAACCACAATAAAACATGGCAAAACAAGGTTATAAAGGAGGGAGACCTGAAGAAGCAAAGGCAGGTAGCTGGCAGGGAGAAGAGTGAGCAGATGGACAGAGAGGATAGACTCAGAAAAGGACAGAGACACGGGCAATGCGTCTAGATACTGGCCCTGCCTAAGCTCCTAAGATTTCCAAAATCTGGCCACAGATATCCAGCCAATAAGTGTCCACTGTACATAACAGCCTGCAAGAACTTATGTTCAGTCTCTGTTCACCCAACATGTATAACTCAAATAAGGAGCATGGGATTTCAGAAAGCTGGAGATGTCTGGCCGGGAATCAGGGCTACTTGCTCAGACCCTTTAACAGTATCTTACTTTGCTGTTTCTCCTTCCAACAACTCGTCTGGATGTAATCAATGTAATCCTTTTCTATCGTCTTCTCCAGGTCACGTAGAGATGCTCCTCGGTAGGCCTTGTCAAAGTTTTTATCCACAAAGTAAGGCACCTGCAGGTTCTGGGTTTCTCTAGCAATTGTGTAGCCCAAGGTCCTGAGACAAGAAGAGAGGTGCAGGTGAGTTCCGTATGGTTTGGCACTGCCATGCTTAGCACTGGTCTCATAGGTGTCACAACCACCTCTCTTCACAGGGCTAGTGCTGGCACTATTTTTATTTTTTGGGGCACCATTTTTAAAAGACATTCAACAATTACGATTTTTCCAACAAAAGAGTAAGTACAATGTAATCATTATATAGGTGAGCACACTAATACTGTTAATTCAACCATAGCATGTATGTATGTGTATATATATATATATTATTCTTCCTAATGACTCACTTCTTATATACGGTTTTGTATAATAAAAGAATACCTACTGCTTCAAGGTTGCAACACCCCCATGATACATCTTCAAGGATATGTACATGTACAGCCAAGCACAATCA